TACTGACTTACCTCTTCAGCAGTGATATGATATTAATTGCACTCTCACCTGCCCCAAGATACCTACCCCCATGCCACATAGCCTCTCCTCTTCCCTCCCTCACCAGGTAGGTTCTCTCTCACAGACACTCTTCCCTAGAGGAGCAAAATCAGAATACCCCACGGACAAGGGAATTGGAGTCACTTCATCTCTTACTCGAGTCACTATAGTGGTTGCAAAACTCTAGCCACAGGAGACCAAGATAGGAAAGGACCCCGAGCCTCTAGTTTATTCTGCTGGTCTCTATGGTTGGGGTTGAGGCTTGAAGAGTCCTCATTGTCTGCTGGGGTTTGGATAGGAGCCCAGCAAATACCTGGGAGCTTGGGAGAGCTCTGGAGCTTCCTGTGCCTGAAGGTGCAGGTGGGAATCTACACCTTCTTTCATCCAGCCCCTAGGCTCTGCTCAACCATGCAAGCATACATTGTGTGTGGGCCAGCAGGCTGGCAGCTTAGGGCTCAAAGAGGTGGGAGCAGGTGGGAAAATCAAGTGCCAAAAGCCCTGAGGATGGAGACATGAGCTGGGCTACTGGGAATGGAGCCCTGGAGCCAGACGGATTTGGATTGACTAACTGGCAGTACCCTCTTTCCAGGGCAGGCTGAGTCTGTGGACACTCGCTTCTCATGACTCTGCACCCAACTCTCCCACAGTTGTCCCATTTTGGAGGACTCAAGATTTCTGAGATGCCATAAAGTTTCTGAGACTGAAAGAACCCCCCCAAAGCTCAAAAGTACAGGAGCGTGGCAAGATAATAGCTGAGTTAAGGCCACAAAAGCAAACACTGGGGAAACTCATGCTGTTTCAGTGACCTAACTCTGACCATGTGGCTTTGGAGACACTGTGGAGCCACTACAGGGTTCCAAGGGTGCTCTGTGTAAGCTGAGATGGTCTCTCAAAGGCCGTCCTGGGAATCTCATGTTGCAGGTTCTAAAGGATGGCATCCCACGATGAGAGGGGCTTTTTCAAACTTTGGGTCACAATCCATTGTGGATTGTGAAATCAATCTGGTGGATCCCAAAAAGCCAGAAAGATAAAAGGAAGGGAGGATGATGGAAGGAGGGAAGGAGGGTATTTCTTGTTTCATAAAACTTATATATGTGCATGGGCATACTAGGTCATGATAAAATTATTTCTTACTATAGGTTGCAATTAAAATTTTGAAAAACACCATCCTGGGAAGACCCTTTTATTTGGGTTGATTTCATTGTTTACAGCTTCTTCCATTTATTCATTCTATTTTCACCATCTGGAACATAAACAAAGAGAACAGCCCTAACATGGCGTGGACAAGATAAATGAGTTAACCTTTCTGGACTTAATTTTTTTTTTTTTTCTCATCTCTAAAACAAGAGAGCTGCCTGAGAGGCCAGGTGGTTTCTGTCTCTGCGAATCCTTGACACTATGTCTCTCAGAATGTTCTTTGGGAGCTGGCAAAGTGAGAGTCTTTCATTCATTCCCACCATGCATATAACCATAAAATTTTTAAGGGTAAAAAAAGGCCCTAAAAAAAGGAAAAACAAACAGTTAGATGGGAGTGCTCCAGGGAGAGCTCAAAGGGCACATTTTACCCGGAGAGCAACCTCCAGACAGCTTATAAACCTCTGTCCATGGAGATAGGGTCTCTGGGAAACTCGCAGGGACAAGATGATCCACTCCAGAGCTGGCACCATGACAAGAGGTTCAGAGGGTGCCAGCCAGCCTCAAGGACAGTGACCAGGCTGCAGGAAAGGGACCCATCAGCTGAGGATAGGGTGCAGCCCTGTGGCCTGACTGTAGGCCTGCCCAGGCTACCCAGAGGCACCTGGAGCCTAACAGGCTGAGAGGCCAGGCTCTGCCTTTCCCCAGACCTTGTAAAATGAAGTGCACCACATAGCCTCAGCCTGGCACTCTGGAATCTTTTCTCCCAGGCAAGTCACACCTGGAAGGACTCTTTTGTTTCTTTACAGACCTTTGACTCTATAGTACTATATGTAACATGGTATCTTACAAATAGCAACTACTTAGTAGATTGTCTCTGATGTAATTTTTTCACAGATGAAAACTGACACACACACAAAAAATCTGAACAATGGCCTTTCTATATGGACCACCACCTCTCTCAGGGACAAGTGAAAACACAAGGATGTTAACTTTGGGGAAAGGAAAGAAAAAAATTAGTGTTTTCTGCAGAGGTTCTGGTACATGTAAAATATAGCAGTCAAGCTAGAGGTGTTTATAACTGTTAATTCTGTGGTACAGAAATGCTGTCTGTCATCAAAGTCTTCAAGAGAGCAGGGTATTGATAGCAACCTTCCTTCCCAGTCCCTAGCTAGGGCGAAGCAAGTCCAGGAGACAATCAGTGATTACGACAAAACAAGAAGTGAATCTCATATATTTTGCTTTTCTACTTCCACGAAACAACATTCTTCCTAAGAATAAAGCTGAAGTAAAAAATCCATCTTTGTTCAATACAAACACAAGATGGCTCGTTATAAGATGATAAATCATGCAGTGCATAGAATACATGCTACAAAGACCAGAGAATTGACAGGTCATTTTGGCCTGGAGATGTTAGGAGAGGCCTAATGTGACAGACAGGATTTGAAAGAGGAGAGGATTTAGAGAGATGAGAAAGCACAGTTCAGGTATTAGGGGAAGGTAAAAAGAACTTGGTTAGAGACATAGTGATGGGGCTGATGATAGCATGTGTTGGGGACTGTAATGACATCTATAATCTTGCAAATCTGCCAAATCTAGAACTTCTGAATTATCTTAACCTGGGTTATCTAGATTGTGGTCCCACAGGTGAGAAGCCTATGGAAAAAAAATTTTTTTTTTGAGAGGTAGCATGGAACAGTGGGGAGTGTAGAGAGAAGACCTGAGTTTAAGTGGCTCCATCACTCCCCAGCTCTAAGAACTTTGACAACTCTGCCGATCAATTGTACAATGGAGAGAGTATTTTCTACTCTTCTTGACTCAAAAGAACTGTAAAAAGGGATTAACAGTCAGTTACTAAGGAATACTTAGTATTTATCTTCTACCACTTTTTGATAAGGTTTATTTTTGAGCCAGGTTCACCTGTCTGGCCAATTAAGTCACTCAGAAGTGACTTCTGAGCTGTTAACCTTTTCCAGAGGTTAGAGATTTCCTCCTGTACTTTTCTTTCTATGAGAATCACTGCTAGCTTTCCAATGATGCTTTGGGCCAGGAAATTCTTTCTTTTACTTTCATTACAAGCGAGAATTTATCCTCAGACTGGCAGGACCCCCAAAGGGGCACATCCTTTCATCTATTTTTCAGAATAGATGGCCCATTTCCAAGTTCAGTGAAACGATGTGTCTCTCTTCTACTTTTTAAAACTTTTCCAGAGAGAAAATTTCCATGATACTCCCTTAAATAAAACATTTCAAGTTTCTCCCTTCTGTTTAGCCTTAATCCATTCCTCTTGATCCAATTATTGAGAGTCTGATAGGAGCTACTTATCATATAGTCTAGCATAACTGTCTCAGAAGTGGTTCAGAGGCCATTGCACCAGTAGACTTGCTGTACTGTAGTACTGTCCTTTATGGAATATCTGTGTGATGTTGGGCAAATCGCTTAAGGTCTGTCTCTATGTCTCAATTTCCCACCTGCTCAGTTTGTCCCTCTGAGCCATGGTTTCCTCCTCTGTTAAATGCAATATGTTCCCTGATTAAAGGAGGTCACCAACTGGTAGGCATCTATTGTAGAACAGCATGTTATAATTACTATTTATGTATACATTCTTCCACTGGACAGTGAGCTCTAAGGAGAGAACTACGTCTTTTTCATCTCTCTTCTAGCATCTAGAGCGATGTCTACCTAGCATATAGCCATGTCTACCTAGCATATAGCAAGACGGGTAGAGTAACTTTTAGCCAAAAATTTCTATGCCGAATTTCCCGCTTTCACCTATAATCCCACGTCTCGAGATGTATTAGAACTCCTCTTTTCTCTTCACACCAATGTCAGGTGGGTTGGTGGGGGTCGGGGCTGGGGACCAGGGCCTGTGGAAGCTGAGACTAAGCTCGCTTGGATGAGGTTCGCGACGGGCCAGGAACGGCGTCAGTTGGGGTCACAGCCGAGGGGGGATCGAGGGGAGATGACGATGCAACTCCAGGCTCCACTTCGGCTCCGTTTTCCGTTTGCTCTTTTATTCTAGCGTATGGGGTCGGGCTCAGCTCTCCGGCTTTCTGCAGAAGTAACGTAACGGCGAGCGGCGCCCGGGATTTCCCAGGAGTGCATGAGAACAGTTGGTGCCCGCGGCAGGCGCCCCGCAAGCTACCCACAGACTACTGAGGAAGTCCCGGCAGTATCAGCCCAGGTTGGGGGTGACGCACCTGGAAGAGGCGTCCGCAGCAGGCTGGGTAGAACCACAGCAGTAGGGAGCGGGAGGATGCATCACAGGTGATCGCAGGCAGAAGCGTGGATCTGCACACACGTAAGTATCGAAAACTCTCACGCACGGAGGACAGAAGCATGCCTTGCCCTGTGGACGGAAGTCGTGGAGGGTTACACGGAGCGGAGTCGCCCCAGCGACAGTGCAGTGGTTGATTCCAAGTCAAGATGGTTGCAGCGCCGCTGGAACTCCCGGCAAGCGAGGACGGACTTGTGGGCGGGGACACGGGGTGGGCGGGGCCAGAGGCGGGGCCTTGAGATGAGGCGGGGCCAGGTGCTGGGCTGTCTCTGCTTGTCAAAAGGCAGCTGCCGAGCCAGAGGCGCCGGGAGCGCGGAGCAGCGTGCCCACCAGCCAGACCAGGTGCGCATCCGCAAGGCGCGGGGAAGCGGGACCCGGGTCGGGATTAGGCTTGGAGTGGGGGCATCGGGGGTCCAGGATCTGAGTGGCCGAGTGCAAGCACTGGAATCTAAGTCGCAGGGGCAAACTTGGCGACTGAGATCCGGGCTTTCGTGCCATGAGGCTGGCGCACTGAAGGGCCACTGTGGTCTGAGAAAGAGCTGAAGTTCGTGCCGGGCTGGCGAGGGGGCAGTGACCTCTTCGGTGCTCAGACTCCTTCGCGCAGAAATGCGCCGCTAGCACAGTACTCAGCATTTGGGCGACAAGACCCATTTGTTTGCTTACTCTGTCGGGGCGCCTTGGCATGGAGTGTAGGAATAAGAAAGGGAGAGACTGGCTATAGATAGTGCTCAGATCTCCTGGGGGTGAAGTGTACGTAGTCTTACTATCTTGTAGAACCCAGGTATGGTCACCTGCCATGGTGTAGCTCGTTCTTTTAAGTAAAGTATTCTTCTTTTCTTGACTTTAAAAAACAAACAAACAAACCAAAAAAACCCCCCAATGATTTTAGACCTAGTTGGCCCTAGCGCACTGGATTTATGTTTCACATGTCCATAGATGTCCAGCAGAACTCAGGCAAGCAACTAATAGAGGAGGGGGGTCAGGGAGTAGTTTCTATTTGAGGAGGGAGGGATTAGCAGATTGTGGGCAGTGGGTGAGGAAGTTTCAGGAAAGTATCTAGGAAGGAAGAGCATGAGGTCTCCAGAGAGCAGTGGACACTGCCTGCCTCCCCCACAGACCACTGAGGCTGAGTCCCAGGCTGCCTGGGCTGGGAGAATCCTGGGTCTCTGAGCCCAGGCTCTTCCCGCATCTCCTCCTCCTACTTCTTCTCCTCCTCTTCCTCCTCCTCCGTGTGGTGAGTGAGTCAGCCTTCTGTCTGGGCTCAGTTGCAGCCGAGGGGCCAGAGCCCAGGCAAGCAGTTGCGCAGGCATTTTCAGAGCATTGCAGAAGCTCTCCTGGGCAGAGTTCAGCAATGCTCCAGCTCCCTGCTGGAAGGCCATCTTCCTCATGGCCAGTGGTGGCCACTCCTGAAGGAGACACTCAACACAGCAATGATTATGGGATGGCTATGGTATGATTCCAGAAGGAGTTGACTGTAAAGGGATTGTGGCTTTGTGGTAAAGCCACATCTCTTCTTCTAGGATCAGGAGGTGCATCCCAGCACTGCAGAAGTTTCCAGCTGCTCATTCCACTTCTGCCTAGCCATCTTGTTAGCTGTCCATCTCTGTTAGTGAGGTGGATGTGCATAAGAAATCAAGAAGTGTCTGGGACTAGGGAGGCATGGTGTTTGGCAAAGAAGATTTTAAGCCAGGCTAGGAAGTGGGGGCGGTTTGCTGAGGCAGAAATGGATTATCCGGATACTGTAGCCTCGACTCTATGAACCGAGGGTATTGTGTATTGGGAGACCTTCCTCATCACTTCCTTGTCTAAGGAGAGGATTGTGGGTCCTTCTGGAATGGTGTTAGGACTGGTATGGAGCCAGAAAAGGAGGAAGTAAGACTGCAATTTTTCCCTTAGCTTTTCTTTTGGCTGCTTCAGATCCTTAATAGAGGCCCCAGAGCCCATTGCCCCTCACTCAAGTGGCCTCTCTGGACTCATTTGAGAAGACTCTACAACCAGGCTATGGGACGGACTGAAACTGCAGAAATCTGGGGAATTCACAATCTGTGCTCTGGCTGGTCCTAGGCTTTGGTTTGGCTGGTCCCTCATCAGCCATGACCTGGACCCTTTCCAGGGTGAAGGATAAGAAAGGAAAGAAGAAAAAAAGGATAAGAAAAGAGGAGAGTGGAGTAAGGAAGAAGAGAGTGTAAAGTCAGGAAGCTTTCCTGACCCCTTACAGCTCTTCAGCTAAGGCCATGACACTTTACATAAATATTGTGGAAGGTCTGATGCTGTTTGGGGTGCTCTGGTCCCAGAGGAAGCACCAAGAAGACCTCCTGGACCCCATCCTTCACTCCCAGAATGAATAACGAGCGCCCAAAACCAACATGTTTCATATTTGGAGAAAGGCCTGGGGCCCGGTGAGCCAGACCAAATGGTTACCCAAGACAGGAGAAGGCGTTCCAATTGTTCAGTTCTTTACCCCACATCCTAAGGAGGCAGCAACCATCCTGGCCAAGATCTGCCTCTGCTAGGAACCTGCTGTAGCTAATGTCTAACAGCTGGATTCTAGTGGCTGGTGTCAAGAGCCCCTGGAAGTCTGAGCTAGGATGGCATTCCAGTTTGTTGCGGGACAGGATGAGTTATAGGACTCCAGCTTTCCGCTTATCACTGCTGCAAGCCTGTTTTAGATGCAGGTAGAGGGAAGTAAGGAAATGACAGGATTTGACTAAGAGCCTCTTGTGTGCCTAACGTGGTGCCAGGCCCTTTGAGGAATAACGGGAAGCAGAACCCACCAGACCAGGCCTCTTCCCTGAGACGGTCTGAGCCTAGGATGGGCAGCAGCTCTCAGGCTCTTCCTCCACCACTGTCCAGTTCTGAGGGGATCCAAATGGGCAGAAGCAGCCTGGCTGTCCTTCTGGACCACCAGGGTTTTGCTTCTGATCACACTTTTCTCCAACGCTCCCTCCACACTTCTGAGTCAGTGCCTTCCTGGATATGCTAGGGAGAGTGACCATATAATTTATTGTCTCAACTGGGAGCCCTTTCAGTGAAAGGGGATGCTTTTAATAGTTGTGTCAGGACAATAGACATAAATCAAAACTGTCCAGGGCAAATATAACATTTAGTTATTCTAGCGAATATCACTGCAGACCCAGCGGAGGTCACAGAGGAGAAGGTGGGTGGGAATGGGTTTAATGAAGAGGGGCAGATGCAGGTAGCTTAATTCTAAGGGCAGCCCCAAACCCCTCCCCCTACCCCCACCCCAGCCTGCTTCTCTGTGTTATCAGCCAATTCCAATCTTCTCCCTGAGGGCAGCACTGCTCCCAGCCACCCTCTCCTAGGACCCAGCCTACCGCTCACTCTTGTGACTTCCCTTCACCTTTGACTTGTGACCAGCTTCACCTTTGGTTTTCCTGCCCCACCCCTACCTCAGACATGGACAGGAAGGCCTGCCAACTTCCCTTGAGCTGCCCCTGGGGAATCAGACTTAGAATAGAGCCAAGACTCAGCCTCATGCTTCCTCTTCCCACTTCCCTCATTTCTGTAGTCTCTTCATTTTGTCTATCCAGCTTCCCAGACCTCTGAGGGCCACACCATCCCACAGAAAAGTCTAGCTCTAAGTCAGGTGAACAACCAGGCGGGGAAGAAGAGTAGTCAAACTTTGCCCATGTGGAGAAAGGACACAGGTCGCTCGTAATCAGATTCCAAGGAAATGGTAAGCAAATGGAAGCCAGATCCAGAGAAAAGCAGCTTAGCAGGCGATGAGGTCGGTTCCCTTGACCACTGAAGTCTGACTCTCCTGTCTGTTCTGACGATTGGGGAAATGGTCCAGGGTGCAGACAGACTATACTTGCTCAACCCAAGCTATAGGCATTGGTGGCATCGACTGCATCCTGCCCTGGTGATATGTGGAAGAGAAACTACCCTCCCTTCTGAGTTCTTGGTCCTCATGGTCCGGATGCTCAGGGTGGAGAGTCCCCAGAGGAACAGCATGCGAGTGACTGGGGCATCAGGTGTTGGGGGTGGAGCCTCTTGGATGACTGTGCAGTGATTCTGTCTACTCTGGCAGAAAGGAAGTCATTCTCACCACCAACAAATGACAAAGGCAGGTGAAGACCTCTTGGGAAGTCCCACCCTTTTAAGTGACTTGTGGGGAGTGGGGAGGGAAGAGACGCCCTGGGCCAGTAAAGGGAGGAGGGGAGGCAGAGGTAAATGGCAGGAGGGAGGCAGAAGCAGCAGGCTTCTGAGTGTATGTCATGCTTTTACAAACCTGCCCTGCAGGTCCCGCGCCAAGGAATAGACCAAGTAGTGTTCCCAGAACCAGATGCCACACAAAGTCCCCATTCTGCACAGGGGAGAGTCCTGGTCCTGAGCAGGGCGTGGACTGCTGCACCAGCGGGAAAGTGGAGTTTGGGCAGGACTCAGCACCTGGTCCCTGGGAAGCTGCTGGCTCTCACTGGCCTTCTGACAACAGGTTGAAGCTTTGAGGTATTATGCAAGGCGTGACATTCCAGGCACTATGCGGCACCCAGGAGGCCCAAGGCTTTGCTGGTGACACATCCAGTGTGTGCCACCTGCTGGCACTGAAGTTGTAGCTCCAGGAGCAGCTACTCACTGAGCACTCAGCTCAGTCATATCAGGTGCTATGCTAGGTACATGGCTTGCGCGGCCTCCCAGGCCTGCCACAATCTTGTGTGATAGAACCACTGTTATGTTCCTTTTACGAATGGGAAGCTGAGGCTCGGTGAGGTTGAGCAAGGTGCCAAGATGACACAGTTGGTGAGTGGGAGCGTCAGGACTTACACTTTGGTCTGTCTTAACCTCCACAGAACCCTACCACCTCTGCATTTATGGACAGCCACAGGGCAAAACGCCTTGCACATAATAGGCCTGCAATAAATATTTGTGAGCAGCAGGGTTAGATTCACTAACTAGTTTGAACAAGTTGACCTGGGAGCAAGCTCAGTTTGCCCAAAGGTTACTCTGGGGACAGTGGCCAATCAGGAAGAGACTCCCTCTGCCAGCACCCTCAGGCCTCCGTGCCTCTCCAGCAGCCCTGGGTACCTTGCTAGGGTTAAAACAGCAGGTCAAGATAAAGACAGCAGGCAGGAACCAGAGAGAGGTAGCTCTGTGCAGAGTGATTGTGTGGCAGCAAGTAAGACTTGAATGGTCTGGAGACAAATTA